TCTCTCTACACATATTCCTCTGGGCAATAAACCCAGTGATATCCGCGTTGGTTGCCATGGAACCAGGGGCCTGTTCGGCTTCCTGGGGTGTTACGCATTTCGGGGGAAGGGTCCACAGGTCCTCATATGGCTTGTTAAGTGAGGGGGGTTATAGAGTATTTGTTAAATATAGCTAACAAAATATATATTGTGTGTTTGATTGGTCCAGACGCTACATATATTAGTTTCTTATTTAATTGGTTCCACATTGTTTGCTGATTTTTACTTTATTTAAACTTTGTGTCATTTATTTATTTTATTTGACATCAAGGTATATGCCGTGCCTCCAAGCTTTCTTACTCGTTTTGCTAATAAACGTTCTACTTTCTTATTTATTTGGTTATATATTATACATGTTTTACTTATTTCCAGTTTTGTATACCTATTTAAACTTTATGTAAGTTATTTGTTATTTTATATTAGGCATAGCGTGCCCTATAGCATGGTGTATTTGTATTTGTTTTGTTAAAAGTTCTGTTTTATAAATACAACGTCAAACTCACTTTAGGGTATTTTGTTGTTGAATTCAAGCAATTGATGCCAAATTGACGCTAATTCGAAGGGAACGCCCCCGAGGTGAGACTGGTATTACCGGTGTTGTCACTCGTCAATTAACCGGTGGGAAAATTTCCTCACCGTCACAACCCTATTAAATATACATTGTTCCCTCTGCTAATTTAGCCAACCTTGTGCTCTCTCTCTGTATAAAACGACGTCCTGTTTTATGCTTGAATATTGAAATGTTCTTTAGTAATGGCTAATTGTTGAACAGGTTTTTTAGGTTGTCAAAAATGACCCGGGAAATAAATTGTTAAACATGTTTTTACATCATTAATTGTAGTGTTTAGTGCATAAGAAGTGAAGTGTGTTGACTGGATGTTTTGCAGTTATTAATTTGTCCGGTGAACTCAAATAGTTCAGTTGTTTCTGTGTGTGTTTAACTCGAATAGGAAGCAGAAGAATGGGAACGCTGTAAAGGGTGAATCCAGATCCGAAAATGAATCAGCCTCTGAGAGTTCCTTGTCTGAGAGTTCATCTGAATCCGGATCAGAATCTGGATCGGAATTCGATTCAGATTCAGACTCGGGAACAGGCCAGAAGAAAAACACAAAGTCTAAACCTGTGCAGTCTACACCAGTCACAAAGGTGAGAAGAACAAGAGAGTCCAAGCACACATCCTGAGTTGTGAGTATGAACTTGTGCTGTATATTAATCTGCATGTGTAACATCTGGCATCCATGTTTCTTTTCAGCAGGTTGAGAAAAAGGAAGTGTCTCTGCTTGATCTGGATGACTGTGAGTTGCTTTCCGTGTTTCTTTTAATTTTTCAGTTTTCTTCTTTTTGTTATAGTTTTGGTTTTATTATTTTGTGATATAATGGTTGTTTTCCAAACCCCAGTGACCTGTCTGTGGTCTACATAGTGGTTTCTAAAGTGAAAATCCCATTCATTTTCTCCATAGGGGAATTGATTTTGAACGATAACTTGTATAACTTTAAAGACAGACCTACTTTGAACTACGAGCTTGTTAATCTGTGGTATACAGTGGGGAAAAAAAGTATTTAGTCAGCCACCAATTGTGCAAGTTCTCCCACTTAAAAAGATGAGAGAGGCCTGTAATTTTCATCATAGGTATACCTCAACTATGAGAGACAAAATGAGAAAAAAAAATCCAGAAAATCACATTGTAGGATTTTTAAAGAATTTATTTGCAAATTATGGTGGAAAATAAGTATTGGGTCAATAACAAAATTTAATCTCAATACTTTGTTATATACCCTTTGTTGAAGCCATCAGCCTGCACTATTTCAACTTATTTTTTAAATAATCATGTTAAACCACATAATTCCTTGTGGAAAATCTTCATTACCCATGAGCTCCACCAAAATAACTTTCTACTGCCCTCCAACCTCCATGAAGCACTACGAATTATATAACAGAGTCAGTCTCCCTACACTCTTAAAATAATTAAATAGTGGTGTTTTTATATATATATATATATATATAGCAATACATTTATAACACATTGTTTAGATATGTTAAATATGCAACAACTTTAAATCAGTAGTTTAAATCCCCATCTTTTTAGATTTTATTGGCATTAGCAATGCAGCATGGGATTGTAGTTCATTAAGTATATTAAGTACAGTTTTGTAGCTGACGATTTTCCGATTTTCATATAATTTGCTACTTCAGATCATGTTCGTCATTGTTTGATTTGCCTTCTGGCTGGTTGGTTTGCTTCATGCCTTGTAACTCTTAAACAATTACTTTTTGTAAAATCCCTCTGAGAAAAAAATACACTCAAAAAATTAGGTGAAGTTGTTTGTCTTTAATTAGATGTGTCTATTTTTATTGATACTTGACAGTGTTGAAATAAAAGTGTAGAGCCTAAAATTAACATTCTCCAAACACCAAATGCGACTTATAATCAGTGTTGGTGAGTATATTAAACAGTGTTACTCGCCAATTGGCTGACGACTTTTTAAAAATGTATTCTAACAATGCCTGAGAATGCGATATGGTTAAAGGGGTCATATGATGTTGCTAAAAAGAACATTATTTTGTGTATTTGATGTAATGAAATGTGTTTATGTGGTTTAAAGTTCAAAAAACACATTAATTTCCACATACTGTACATTATTGTTTCTCCTCCGGCTAGAGTGAGCGGTGGCGGGCAGGCTTGTGGCAACCACATGTGACGACCCCGGGCTGGACTCCGCTTCATCCACGGTGAAAGCCGATCCGGCGATCCACAGCGCGAAGTTGATGTATTTCCTCAGCGACCAGCACGGATCAGCTCTAGGCATGACGAAGCAGATATCGTCCTCTTTTGGAAGGCCAAACAAAGTAGTTTCGCTTTCACAATGAAACACACAGCGCCTTCACGACATGGCGGCAGCAACAATACTACAGCGAGAATAAAAGTTACGCCTTCTTTCTTTGCGTGAACATTTGGGAGGCGTTATGCAAATCTTCTCACATCGTGACGTAGACATGGGGGCGTGTTAGAACGAGCCGTTTTAGGTTGGTGTGGCTGACTCTTAACTTTTATAAAGAATATCTCTTTGGATTTGAGACTTTAGTCTTTGCAACTTTACAGATCTTCTTTATGCACCAAGAGCTTGTAACACTCCAAAGAGAAAGGAAAAATTGAAATCGCATCATATGAACCCTTTAAGACTGGGTTGTGATTTGATACAGTAAATATGTAATCTGCTGTGTGAGTGTATGTGTAATCATATAAATACAATAAAATGTTGCTTGCTTATCTGTAAAGGACACATATGATGATGCCTCAACGTTTAGACAAAGCTGTGTACCTTATACTCGTTTTTTGTGCTGATTTTGAGGGGAAATTTGCATAATGGCGTTAAAACTAGTCAAATGTGTTAAATAGAGACAAAACAGAAACCTCAATATGCTGTTTAGTTAGGCAGCTCACTCTCTTTTGGAACAGGACCAATTAATGTATTGATAAATATATGGGTTTTAATGCTGGTGTTATTGTTTTGTTTGACAGTCTCGCCCGCGGCGGTCCCCACACCCAAGAGCTCCATCCTGTCTCCTAGTCTGCTGTCTGACCTGCAAGGGCTCTCCATCTCACCCACTGCATCGGCCTTACAGGTGTGTGTCCGTCTGACTTTGTGTTGATGTTTAATAAGTCTCTCTTGAATACTTTGAGTTGATTTGTTTGCATAAAATGACTGCTAATATATATTCATCCTGTTTGGGTTCATTTTGCATTAATGACCGGCTGACTACATTATACCTCTTGCTTTTTATCATTTCCCCTCCAGTCTTTTGTTTGTGTCCATCTAGACATCTTCTATGTTCTTTGTTTCTTTTTGTATTATAGATTGGTTTTTCATTGCCTTCCCTCTTTCTTCTCCTCCTGTGTGAGTCCAGCGTGTGTGTGTGTGTTGTCAGCATATGTGATTGTTGACCTTTTGCAGTATGACGGCTCCTTCCTCTCCCGTGAGAGTCCTGTGTCAGGGAGAGAGGGATATCAAGAGAGCGAGAGGGAGGGAGAGATGTCAGTAAGAGATGAATGAAGCATGTGTGGTCATTTCTTCTCAAATACTATCTGTGTCTTTCTCTTTTAGGATTGACACATGAACTGTAATATCCCAGCGGCCCACAGATACCCCCCGACAATAACACACACACTATACGCATGTTTATAGACCTGTGCTGCTGTCATATTTCAACCTAAAGATTCTTAGTAGGATCTGGACCTTGATCTTATTGTTTGTAATATTTGTAAAGACATTGAATCGATAAAGATATTTTTGCATAGTAAACACAAGCTAAAGTTAATATAGGCTACAATATAGGTACATTAGAGCTAGAAGCACTACCTTTCAAACACTTGAGGATGGAAAGATGTTTTTATATTTTTGTATTATAAGTCTTTTATGCTCACAAAGACTGCATTTATTTGATCAAAAATACAGTAAAAAGCAGTAATATTGCGAAATATTATTACAATTTAAAATGAGGTTTTTATTTGAATATGTTTTAAAATGTAATTTATTCCTGTGATGCAAAGCTGAATTTTCAGCATCATTACTCCAGTCTTCAGTGTCACATGATCCTTCAGAAACCATTCTAATATGCTGACAGAGTCATTCATTAGTATTTTCAGTGTTGAAAGCAGTTGTGCTGCTTAATATTTTTGCAAAAAACAATGCATTTTTTCCCAGAATTCTTTGATGAATCGAAAAATCTAAAAGAACAGTATTTATTTGAAATGGCAACCTTTTGTCATTAAATTTTTACTGTCACTTTTGATCAATTTAATGCATCTTTGCTGAATAAAGTATTAATTTATTTCAAAAAAATTTTTTTAAAGGTAGTGCACTATTTATTATTATTTATTTATATATTATTAATTTCAGTGCTAATTAAACTAGTTGCTTGTTTAATCATCATATTAGTAGACCTGAAGGAATTATTGTGTAAACTAGCAATAAACTGGTTCAAAACATTTAGACTGAGATTTCAAGAACTGGCTGTTATCAGATTAACAAAACTGACTTGTCAATTGGCAGTTTGTCCTTAAAGAGCTTAAAACTGATTTGATATTATTATTTTTACTTTGCCTGGAAATAATTTTGAGTTTTATCTGCCATTTTTATTTAAAAGAAAAGCAAACGAATGGAGTTATTTAGTGATTTGTGTATTTGCTCAGTAATGATTGTAAAGCAGGGCTAATAAAGTCTTATTGATTACATACAGTGTTGTGAAAAATAAGTTTTCATTGAAAATTTTTTTTAATTTTGTGTACGTCACATATTCTGACTTTGTCATATATTTAAATTTCCCGATCAATTCCATCATATTCTCCATTTCTCTATATCATTAATCTTCTAATATTATTAGGGAATACTTTTTTTTTTTTCTTCAATAAAATGTCAAAATGCACCAAAAAGCATGCAAAGGTCATACTGATTTATTACTTTGAGTATATGAGCATGCTATTAAACTCCAGACATCTTGCTGACAGCGCTGTGGTTGAACTATGATTGCTGATAACACGCAATCCTTGATATCCCAGAGTCGGAGAAAACTTTTAAACTTCCTATAGTTTCCAACCTCCATCTGTCAGAATTCCTATTCTCCTCCTGTCCATCACTGCAGGGTAGCCCCTGTGACCTGTATCGGCGCGTTGGGCGGGTGTCAGCGCCGCTGCTTTGATTGACAGGCTCGTCAGGCCCGGACCGCTGCGCAGCTAGAAGCTGTTAGGCACAGGTCATTAGAATACTACCCACGAGCCTCGGCGGGCAGGCTAATCAGAGCTGAAATAAAGGGTGAGATTGAGAGAAAGAGAAAGGGCTTATTTAAAGTCAATGCTATGCATAAATACATTACAGGCCGCTATAATCTTAGTCACGGTGGATAAACCTCATCTCTCTCGCTCGCACATACATGCATTCATTATGGCGTGTCACGTCACACAGCTGGTCTTTCTCAGCCGCGTGCATGCAGATGTATGAAAATATATTCATACGACACTGCTGCGAGTGTGTGTGTGTGTGACTTTGGCCGACGCGGGTACAGATGAGATAACGGTATGTGAAATAGAGAGACACTCTGATGCGTTCTGGGACGGTTAGTGGTGGTATTTAGCCGATCCATGGGTCAGCGTGCGAACTATCTGCCTCGGCTCCTCCCGTTTCTAATAACATTTTGACGTGCAGATCTGCTCTGAAATACTGTTTAAGCGCACGCCGGGGGAGCCGGCTGATAACTTTTCATTCATAATTAGTGCGGGGCGAATGGGGGCCGAACGCAGGGCGTCGGAGGGAAATTGAACTGTCAGTGTAGGGTGAGCGGGGGGCGAATGAGGGCGAGCGCGGACTGAGCGCGGGGTGAGGGGCGTTTGACCCCATCACAATCCGGGGGCCGCGTCATAATTTGTTCATTTGGTGTCCATCAGCCGGCCGGCGTTGCCGCGGTGACCCCGTTCTTCTCGGAGCACGCTCAGTGCCGTCCTCATTATGACTCAGCAGTAAGGTAGAAACACACGTGGAGACACCGACTCGCGCTGTCAATCACATGTGCTTTATGCTGGACACGTTTAGCGTGGCTTTTTTAGCACTATAAGACACTTTTGATTTGATTGTGTGCAAGTATCAGTGTTTCCCACAGGATTTTGTGAGACTATGGTTGGGTGAACATTGGGGGGTCCAGGAGTATGACATTTTTTTATGTATTTTCAAGTTAAATGCATCAATATGGTGAACTTTGGGAGCAAAATTAAGAGCATCAACCCCTTTGCAGTGACCAAACTGAACAGAATAAAATAAAAAAAATCTCTTTGAATTGACGTTGACCTAGACGTTAAAGTGGACTCAAATAAGGGTTATTATGGTTAACTAAAATTATAAACATAAAAATTCCCTTTGGTTCCTTAAAGTAGAATAAACATTAAGTGAAGTAAAATATTTATTAAAAAAAATATATTTTATTTCAGCTAGTTGCCAAAGCAAACGTGATGTATTAAAATAACTGAAACTAAAACGGAGATAAAAATTTATAAATTAAATCATAATATTAAATTAATATTAATAATGTGATTAATATTTTTAAAAAAATTATAATTAAAATGACAAAAATACACAACAAAATGACTACAAATTTAACAAATTAAAATGAAAACGGAAAAAATAAAAAATCTCAAATTTCAAAACATCTAAAAATACTTCAAATTTCAAAGTTCAAAATATTAATAAAACTGCTAAAAATCACAGAATCAGTTAGTGTTTCAGTCTGCATCACAATTGATAATAATAATAATCGTAATATTGTAATACATTATTTTATACATCTTTAATTATGCATTATTGTATACATAATTATTGTAATACAGCTGCACTGTAACAAAGTGAATGATTTATCTTAATTATTTTTGTTTACAGTAGTAAAATTACAGTATGTATTAATTACTTCACTCAAGAGTTATACCCTCAAGCTTTACATTTCTGTGTTTAGTTGACAGCAAGTTTACTTAGCTTTTCATTACAATTCTGTAATCATCTGTTCACAAAAATGTAAAAAAAATTATGCTAATGTGAAAATAAATTGAACCTGGCACACGTTGCATTCCCAAATGGATGTTAAGCACATGGAGTTTGCAGGATTTACTGTTAACCGAGTCGCTTTGAGATGCTGAAAACATCAGATCATGAGCTGCTCATGTGTAAATGAACACAGTGATACTCTTTGATCTGAAACACAATATAGGCACTATATATATATACACTAGGGATGTGCGCGACGACTAATTTTACTGTTGTTTAAACGAAAGTTTTGTATCCGACTAGTCGACTAGTCTAAAAGCAAGAAACCCCCAAAAGGCGCGTGCCTGTAGCATATATTATAGCCTATATTTGAAATACTTCATCTATGAATCACACTGTCAAATCCCTCAATGAATTCCGCTTGCTTCGCGTTATCATCATTTCATTTTAGGCGGTCGTTAAAAAGAAAAAAAAGAAGAGCATACGCTCAACATAAGCCAAAGCATAGCTTATTTATTCAAATCAGCTGGGGAAATGCAGAACAATGTAAAATCAATCAATAGCCTGACAGAATTCTTAATCTTCATATAACGTTAGCCAACATATTAAAACACAAGTCAAAAACAATAGGAAGTTTTATCAAGAAATAGCATTAAAACGTCTTTTAAAAATGTACTTCGTGTAGGCTATCTCGTCTAAAAACAAAATAATGCAACAATGCCAATTTTACTTACTCAGACCATGCGTTATTTGTTCAGTGAAATTATCAACGTGGTCTGGTGAAAGACGTGACCTGAGGCGATTAACAATAAAATTCCTGCACTTGAAAAAACACGCTCGGCGGGAACTGAAGTCGCAGGCAAGCAGAGATAACGAAAAGCAAGCCGATAGAGTTTCAGAAAGCGGCTGGACATCCCGTACCACCACCGAAGTGGGTCTTCGTTAGAGGAACAGACGGCGCGGATGGGATCGCAGCGCCGGCGGGTTGTAGTGAATGATGTGATTGACACATTTGCTGGCTTTGGCCAGCCTCTAAGCTAACGCCTACATGCCTGTATTGAATATGATTACGCATCGCTCCAGTAGAGTTATTGTAAGACA